AAAACAAATCCCAGCCGGGTCCGTCACTTTTTTGGGTCCCCTTGAAACATTTCCGTTGTGGTCCGTGCTATTTGCAGCGCGTTTCTTCATTTGCATGTGCTGTGACGATTTGCAGCGCGTGTGTTGTCAAACTGATGATGTTTTCCTAATTTGCTGGTGTTTTTTCAATTTGCATGTGTTTTCTTAAGTTGCAGCGCGTTGAGCTCTCTCGGCCACTGTACTTTTCATACTCTTTATATTGGCTAAAGCACATTTGTTTCAATCTATAAGAATAATCAGCCTACACTACCAGTCAAAAGTTTTTAACCAGTAAGATTTTTTATGTTTTTTTAGTTTTTTTTTTTAAAGAATTCTCTTCTGTTCACCAAGCCTGCATTTATTTGATCCAAAGTACAGCAAAAACAGTAAAATTTTGAAATATTTTTACTATTTAAAATACATTTCTATTTGAATATATTTTAAAATGTAACTCATTCCTGTGATCAAAGCTGAATTGTCAGCATCATTACTCCAGTCTTCAGTGTTACATGATCCAGAAATCATTCTAAAATGCCGATTTGCTGATTATCAATATTTAAAACAGTTGAGTCAATTTTTTTTTTCAGGATTCTTTGATGAATAGAAAGATCCAAAGATCAGCATTTATCTGAATTAAAAAAACTTTTGTAACATTATACACTATTCCATTCAAAAGCTTGGAGTCAGTATGATTTCTTTTTTTCTTTTTCTTTTGGAAAGAAATTATAGAAATTAATACTTTTATTTAGCAAGGATGCTTTAAATGGATCAAAAGTGATGATAAAGACATTAATAATGTTACAAAAGATTTCTATTTCAGATAAATGCTGTTCTTCTGAACTTTCTATTCATCAAAGAAACCTGAAAAAATGTTTACTAATAATGATTTTCTAGCAGCAAATCAGATTATTATAGTATATAGATATAAATATATACATTTTCTGTCCCCATATCTTGAATCTTGTGATCAATCTAAAGGCATTTTACTAGACTGAATCATGCAGTGATTGTGATGCACACTCTAAAATGCGCACTTGCACTAGTCTAGACTTCACGTAGCCTAATGTATGATTTTTGCTAAATACTCAACACTCGCACACCCCTATTCAGGGCCGGAGTGGGACTCATTTTCAGCCCTGGAGTTTCATGCCTTAGACCAGCCCACTTTAGTTCACGACTGAGCTATAAAAATAATGTAATTAAAACCAGTCTATAAAAGTCTGCAATAGTGCACTGTTCTCTACAGCCTTGTAATTAGGGATTCAAGCGTGTAGCGCTGAAAGCCTATTGTAATTGTTAGGATTTTTATTAGGGGTTCAAGCGCGTAGCGCTGAAACCCTATTGTAATTGTTAGGATTTTTATTATTAGGGGTTCCAGCACGTAGTGCTGAAATCCTATTGTATTTGTTAGGATTTTTATTATTATTATTCCGCGCTAAAACTGATCGTGCAGACCAAATCGTAAGGCCTAGAGAGCTGAAACTTGGTCAGATGGATTAGTCATGCTCGCTACTCAGATGCAAAGACTCGCCCCAATCGGCCAATGGGGGGCACTACAGCGATCAAAAACGCAAAACTGCTCATAACTCCTAGATCGTTTGTCATAGGCTCAAAACTTCATACTTTCAGAATCCTTGGGTCAAAACGAAGAAAAGTGTAGAAAGTCAGATTTGCTCTACGAGGTCCTGTTTTCCTACCATTTTGAAGTAAATTCAAAACCTACTTTTGCGAACTAGTCCTAGGTTCTTCACCCAATCAGAACTTAACCACTGCAGAAATATTCTCTGGACAGTGAATATCAATAATTATCAACAAAAAAAAAAGTTAACTTTTGACTCACGGTCGCAAAGGCACGCCTAAACGTCCGTTAGGGGTGGGGCTACTTTCACTAAAATGGCTATAACTCCTGAACGGAATGAGATATCTTCACCAAACTCGGTACACATGTGCAAGAGCTTAATCTTTGGTCAAATAAAAAATATTGCACAGCTCTGCTACTTGGTGGCGCTATAAGATGGAAAAAACTAAAACGGCTATAACTAGGCAACCGTTGCTCTGATCGACTTGAAAATTGGTATGGTCTTTGTCCAAAGTGGCACAAGTGTCTATGAGGACATTCACGTATCTAAAAAAACATGGCCAAAGGCCATTGGCCAAAGAAATTTAATCACCTATTAGACAAGGTTAACAGAGGTCGATCAGAATGAAACTCGGTGGGCATGTTCAACTCATGGCCCTAAAGATCTGTAAGAATTTTGAAAGAAATCGGCCACTAGTTGGCACTAACGAGTTTTATGGCTCCAAAATCACATGGTGTTTCACACATCCACACAATATGCATATCATTTGATAGATCTCCGCATATTGAGCAACTTTGCCTCAAGAACCATTGCTGTCAATCAAATCGTTCATTAAGTATTCTCAACTATGTTAAAAACCTACTTTTGCAAACTAGTCCTAGGTTTTTTGCTCAATCTTGATCAAACCACTGGAGTGCAATTCTCTGGCCTCTCTAGATAAATAATTATCAAATACATTTAGAATTTTGTCCTTCGGTTACCTATAACGCGGTCATTTAGAAAAAGGGCGTGGTTAAATATACCCAAACACCTATAAAACCTAATCGAAAACTCAAAACTATACGAAACTTCAAGAAAGCATGTGTCAGATGAATCTTAACAACCAAGCAAAGTTTTATGGAGGTTGAATCATAACAGTTAAAAAGGCCTCAAAAACACAATATTTCTTTAGAAAATGACCTCAAATTGCAAAAAAGGTTCATATATTTACACTAGCACTAGATCTTCATATCATATGATAGATCTCCTCATTCTGAACAACTTTGCCTCTGGGACTAATGATGTCAATCAAATCGTTCATTAAATATTCTCAATTATGTTGAAAACCTACTTTTGCGGACTAGTCCTAGATTTTTCATTCAATCTCGATCAAACCATTGCAGCGCAATTCTCTGGACTCTCTAGATCAATAATTATCAAACAAAATTGAATTTTGTCATTTAGTTAGATATAACGGAGTCATTTATAAAAGGGGTGTGGCTAAATATGTCCAAAAGCCTATATACCCTAAACGAAAACTCAAAACTTTACAAAACTTGGTGAAAACATGTAACGGAAGACACTTAACAAGCATGCAAAGTTGTACAG